TAAGAATCTATAATTCTAATAATATAGGCAATGTATTTATTCAACACAAACTGAGCAACTAATCAATAAATGACTATATCAGCCCTAAGGAGATCAATAAAAACAAAACGTGATTCCTGCCCCATCCCAAAGACTTATATAGTCAACGAAAGGAAATAAGATAATTATGACTCAAGATAGAATTAGAAAAGAGTCATAAGCAAGGAACAAAGTGCTTTAGTTCAATGCTTTTCCCATATAACTGATTTTGCTATATCTGACAATAAACTCAGTCAATTCGTGTAAAAGCTGAAAATAATTCCCAGGATCTAGGCACAGATTTTGTGTAATATTTTTCATGATTTCAAGGTAATCACTGTAGAATCTGAACACATAAAAATAGCATACTTGGTACTTGGAACTGAATAGTTATTAGAATGGATAGGACTAAAAGGACAAATTCCCAATCAAATAATTTTTTATATCTACTGATATTTAAAAATTGTATTATCTCTACCTCCAAAGATGATTTGAAATGGTGACCCAATATTTTACTTGAAAAACTCCAAGTCAGAAATGTAACAAATCTATCAAATTTATCTCCTGGTGTTCTTTTACCAACTAGCTGATAAAATAGGGTCTTTGGGAAAATTTATCTAAATAGATAAAAACTAGGATACTTCTAAATTTATATTTTACCAAGGAGATTTAAATGAACCAATTTAAATAGGAACCAATATCATTCCAGGGAAAGGTCTCACCCTCCCTGCTTTTTATAAGTTTTGCTATATTTTATTTGTGTACTAGAAGTCCAGTGCACAAATTTGTGCACAGGTGGGATCTCTCAGCCTGGCCAGTGATCAGGGCCTATCAGGGCAGTCTCACTCAGTCCCTGATCGGGGCTGATCCGGGCCAGCTGGCCGGCCAGAGGGAGGGACCACAGGAGGTTGGCTAGCTGCAGGAGGTTGGCTGTGGAAGTGCACTGACCACCAGGGGGCAGCTCCTGCATTGAGCATATGCCCCCTGGTGGTCAGTGCGTGCCTTAGCTACCAGCCAGTTGTCTGGTCAGAACGGTCACTTAGGCTCTTATATATATACTAGAGGCCCAGTGCACAAAATTTGTGCACAGGTAGGGTCCCTAGCAGCTGCCAGCTGCTGACTGGGGCCTTCCTTTGTTCCACGCCACCCTCTGGTGGTCAGTGCACATCATAGCGAGCGATCAAACTCCTGGTGGGTTGAACTCTCAAGGGGACACTTTGCATATTAGGCTTTGATATATATAGATAAATAGATAGATAGATAGATATATTGATAATTACAATTATCAATGATGATTGAGACAGGGTCCAAATTAGGCTTGCTTGTGTACTAAAACTTGTTGTTACACTGTCACCTGAGTTTGGAACCTTTCAGGAGTGAGCACTTACCGTGTTAATTAGAATTCTAGTATTTCAAAAACCGCAGGGCCCCTAGAGATGGCTAGTTGACAGTGCTTTTGTGTCATTTTTTTCAGTATATGGCTTTGTAAACAAGTCAGTATATTTAACCAAAATAAGTACATGAATAGCAGAAGAATGCTAGGTGTCTAAGCACCACTGCCTCCTGAAAAAAAGTTCTTCTAAATCCATCATGGTGAGTAAAATGAACTTTTACCTAGTAAAAACGCTGAGAGAAGAAATGAAATGTTTCGTTTAAGTGGCAGAAAAAGCAACTGTATTTTTGAAAAAGGAAAACTTTAGCAATTTTATGAAAACCATACTAAATTGTTTTAGGAAATATTATGAGCATAAAACAGACATAAGACAGAAGTCAAGTTACCAGTTCATAGCCAATAAAGTCAGCTACTTCACATACCACAGTCGGAAGGCATTGGTGCTGCAGAAATGGAGAAGGTCACGGGTGTATCCGAACCTGAAAACAAAAATGGGTATCTTCCCATCAAAGACTCTCCTTCTAATGGGAACTCTGGGAGGTCCTCTATGGTCATCTTCTAGAAAGCCGCCTGTAATGAGAGGAGAGAGAAAGCACATTACTTCTGAATGCCACTTAGAGTGACTGCCTTCAATGATACACAGCCTGTATTCTTTTAATATCTAACTTACTGACACTTTCAACTTCAAACTTCAAGAATCGCTTTTAGAAAGGAAGGGGGGAACTTCCTTTCAGCAAACATATGGCTTATAGAGTCAGCAGCACACGTCATCTTTCTAGACAAAGCTCAGGAGCCATATTATTTCCCAAGTATAGGTGAAAACCTTTTTAAATGTTGAGCTAATCTAAATGGATGATGTTTTCTTTACTCACAGATATCCCTGGTCAATGGATCTTTAACTTCTCATGGAATCTGACACAGCTTATATCATCTGTCACCCCATAGCTCTTGCCACACGCTCATCACATGAACACAATCTAGTTTAGGATATTCTCATTATTTCCTGACATCCCAGAAAACTTTAGTGACTGTTAATCACACCTCTCGTACAAATCTAAGCGCCCACTTCTAACAATGATAGGATCTGTTCATTCCATCCTAGCAGGAGATGGAAGGCCATGCCTTTTTTATTTTTTCAGACACAATTTTAAATTTAATTTTACTTGAATTTCACAAAAGAAAAAGAATTTATATGAATTGCTGAATTCATATAAATATTTCCTCTAGACAAGAGGCACTTCCCCTAAAACATCCCTTCAAGATTAAAAAAAAAAAAAAAAAAAAAAAAAAAAAGCTTAGCTTAGAAATTTGTTTCAATGTGCTTCAATCCTGGCTAGGGAACTACCTGTGCAATTTATAAAGAGAAAAAATACAAATACACAAGCCCTCCCCCACGCCTCCCCCTTGCTGTGAAAGATGAGTTAGTTGGCCCAGCCACACGGGCATGGACATGCAGTTCTGAAAATATTGAAGCCCTTCTGTACCAGTTAGTAAATATCGGCCACTGGACTCTCCCCAGGGCTCTCCCTCCCTCTCTCCTGGCTGCCCCATCTCCTTCAATACGCACCACTTCACCCCAAGCAGCTTTCTATCTGTTTTATATAATGGCCTCAGGTAAGGCTTTGTTTGCAGAAAGTATTCAGTGTGAAAACCCCTGCTCAAGATCAGCCCTCAGGTCCTTGCAAGTGTGCACAGTCCAGGATTTCTGAGAATGGAGGCCTTTCTCCCAAACACACTAGCTCCTTATGAAGTCAAGTGCACGAAAAGGGGCAACAGACACAGGCCTGCGGGTATGGAGACCCCAAGACCTCACAGCCCCCTGAGAGCTTCATGGAGAAAACGGCTGTGACTGGGGTGGGTGCAGGATGCAGGGGGAGCCCCAAGTGACCGAGGGAAGGTTCTCCAGTGGAGTTAAAGCTGAGGTGGGATTTGAAGAACGAGGAATGGCATTGGAGGTGGAGGGAACTGCAGGTGCAAAGGCAGGGAGGCAAGAGACAGCCCGCCTGGTCTGGGAACTATGGGAAGGCAATGGAGCCCGGGTCCAGGAAATCTGCTGGGTGAGGTAGGGGTCCCAGAACCCACCACCTGGACCCTCTGCCTCCTTGACCTTCTTTGCTACCGGCTGCCTGGCCAGGAAGAGCCCTGGCCCAGCTGCACAAAAGAAGGCTTTGAAGCTGGAAGGAGTGAGCAAGGAGGGGCCAGCTGGTGTGTATTTTTGGATTGCTTCTCAGAAATCACCTCCTCCTTCTCCCCTCCTCCGACACCATGGCAACCAGGCGGCAGCTGGGGGAACCACCCAGTCAGGACACATGCCTGGGTTGTGGGCTCGATCCCATGGATCATGCAATTGATCCATGATTCTCTCATCATTGATGTTTCTCTCTCCCTTCCTCTCTGAAATCAATAAAAATATATACTTTAAAAAAGAGAGAGAGAGCTGAGGAGAGACTCAGGTGGCCCTTGAGAAGGGTTCCTTTCTCCCCATCTCCCCAGCACGATTCAGGAGGCAGCTCCTCTGGGGGTCACCCTGGACCCCTAGATCCATCCAGATTCCAGCTCGTGGGGATTCGGCACCTGAGAGGGTAGAAAGGCAGGCACACAGCGCCCCGGGTCACATAGGGCTAAAGGACTGCCCATCCGCCCACCCATGGCTGACTGGCTCCATCAAACTGCTTCCAACTGGTTTTCTGTTTCCTGCCAACCAAGCCCCCTCTCCGGAGGGTTTTGTAGAATTATTGTTTCTTGCGGATGAAGCACTCCATGTTTCTCCGAGGCTGGCGGTGAAGTCATTGTCTACAACTCCGCACTGTTCCACACAAATGGCCCACTGGTTCAGCGGCAGGACAGAGGCCTCAGGGCGCTAAGGAGGCTCCCGCTCTGTCTTCCTCACGATCGGCTGGCAGATCAAAGGCTGGGCATTTGAGGGCTCTAATGGGTTTTCCAGAAGACCATGCCTTTTAAACCATATCCCTGATATTACCTTTTTCTCAGACAACATGAGTGGTTTGAATAAATTTGCTATAAATTGGACTGGTGTTGCACCAAGCCAACCCAGAAATGGAGAAAGAAGAGAAAATGTCAGCGAAACTGAACTATGAAGCCAAAAACCTTCCAATTTCTTTTGTATCAAATCTTTCAAATGTGAAATATTATGACTGTCTATATGCTTTTTAAATATAAATGGAAAACCATATTACAAAACCAAATGAAAATGATTTTTAGTTTATTTCAGTAGAAAGAATAGAATAAGTGAAAACAGCTAATTGATCATGTCCTCTAGCAGATTATGCCTTGCTATTTATTACTCAATGTGCTTTTTTACAATTGATGAATCAATCTGCCATCTAACTTAATCATCTTTACCATCACCACCCTTATCTAAGGAAACATCATTTCTTCAAGTTAACTGGTTTCTTCCCAACTTTCCACAGGGGGAGCACTCCTCAGCCAGAAGCCGGGCTCACGGCTGGCGAGTACAGCACAGCGGCAGTGGTGGAAGCCTCTCCTGCCTCCATGGCAACGCTAAGGATGTCCCACAGCCGGCTTAGGCCAGCCCCCCACAGGGAGCTGGCTTACAGTCAGACATCCCCTGAGGGCTCCTGGACTGTGGATTTGCCGCCCAATACTTTGAATTGTTTTGACATTAACCTTGCTACATAATTCTATATAATAAAAGGCTAATATGCAAATTGACCGATCGGGAGAATGACTGGTCGCTATAATGCACACTGACCACCAGGGGGAAGACGCTCAACGCAGGAGCTGCCCCCTGGTGGTCAGTGCGCTCCACAGGGGGAGCACTCCTCAGCCAGAAGCCGGGCTCACGGCTGGCGAGTACAGCACAGCGGCAGTGGTGGAAGCCTCTCCTGCCTCCATGGCAATGCTAAGGATGTCCCACAGCCGGCTTAGGCCAGCCCCCCACAGGGAGCTGGCTTACAGTCAGACATCCCCTGAGGGCTCCTGGACTGTGAGAGCAGGGCAGGCCGGGCTGAGGGACCCCACCCCGACCCCCGCAAGTGCACGAATCTCATGCACCAGGCATCTAGTAGGAATATAACAAGGAATTGGTGTCACATGGCATGGTGATCTCCCTTAAATGCTATCAATTCTAAAAAGTAACACATGCCACAAAGACAACCGTCCTTCAACACTGTAGCTTCTCAGTGTAGAAGTAACTCAGCGTTTCTACCTGTTGGCCTCTAAGTGTTTGGCAGTAAGTCTGGACAAAATATTACACGCAGAGAATGAAGCTACCTTTAGCACAGCTTGTTAAACACGTTACTAGTAAATGTGTAACCACTGCCTACAAGGCACTACACTGATCTAGATGTTTCAGAAAATAAAAAAATGAGTAACAGATGGTCCCATGCTTACAGTCTATTGGGGTGAATAAAATAGCACTAACTGCAATAGATGATGAAACAGAGGGGATTTGTTCCGTAACGTAAGTACAAGGAACATGCCCTATGGCAGCTCCTGAGAATCAGAAATGGTGTGGTAAAGGAGGCATCACCTAGGGCAGTGGTTCTCAACCTTCCTAATGCTGCAACCCTTTAATATAGTTCCTCATGTTATGGTGACCCCCAATTTTATTGTTACAAATTGAACATAATTAAAGCATAGAGATTAATCACAAAAACAATATGTAATTATATGTGTGTTTTCCGATGGTCTTAGGCGATCCCTGTGAAAGGGTCGTTCAACCCCCAAAGGGGTCGCAACCCACAGGTTGAGAACCGCTGACCTAGGGTATAGTCTTGAAAGATGAGTAGGCAGAGATTTGGGGCAGAAATGTAAAAGGAGAGCACTCAGAGGAACAGTAGGCTGGAATGCACGCTACATCCCGGAAAACAGTGAGAGGTAAGGCTGTAATGGTTTTTTAGGGCTATACTCAGAAGTACTTTAAATACCTGATCAAAGACCAAACCTTTTCATTCCATGAGCACTGGGAAACCACTGATTATTTCGAAGGAGACTGTCCCAGGGTTCAAGCTGTGTTCTAGGAAGATTAACCTGACTACCATCACATTTTGAGACTCAGTCATGTTTTTTGAAGATAATTCTTCAGCAGAGTGAATAAGTGGTTATCATTCTGAGTTGGTTAAGAGGAGCCACCTTTCAAATGTCCTTTTCCGAGTGGGTTTTCCATTCAAAAATGTTTTCTAGAAGTGATCCCCAAAGCACCTTTCATTTCCTTGCACTGTTGAGATTCTTAAAAGAACTGTATCTTACATGCTATCACTTGCCACAGGAGTTAGATTAGTGGCCTACACATACTTAATAGTAAATATTCAAGGCCTAGATTCAAGGTGGAAAGTTGAGTCACTCAACACAATGTAATCAACTTCATCATTTTACATGTAGCTACTTCAATCTCAGAGAAGCTCTATTACCTAACCACTGGAGTGAACATTCTTTGTATTTTGTCTTCATTGCATTTTTTTCCCAGTTCTATTTCCTTTCCTTTATGAAACCCCAACCTTCTGCACCACCAAAGAAAACTATACACCTCTATAGTCTTAGAATCCTTTTGCAAAAGCAATTTCTAGATGCCGTGACACCTGGGAATATTGGTCAAACTTGGAGATATACTAGCCTGAATCAAGTACATACTTTCATTTCAAATCCTGCTATGGTTAACTGGTGATAATGGGTTATACAAAGTAAACCTTAAGATATTTTTTTTTAAGTTGGCCCTATTTAACTCTGTACATAACAGATACAATAAGTAGACTCAAATTCCCCAAATTTTGATTTATATATGAATCCCATCCTATCCCATCACCCCAAATCAGCTCTGAGCAAAAGCATCTTGTAACATGGCTATGATATCTTATGATTTCTCAAGGATTCCTGGTCCATGCCCTAACTCAGAATGGTGGTGAGTGGAGAGGCCCACTAACTTCTTCAGAGTAGCTGAAGGCTGTTAGGGCCTCACAAAGGCACCTCCCTGAGGCCTAGGGATGCCCTCGGATTTATGTGGAATATGGTGAAAGGGCAGCATGCCTGAGCTACTCCACTAACAGGAAACCCAAGCTGTGTCCACACAAGTTGGAATCATTCAACTTCACACAGCATTTTCTCGTGAGTCTTCAAGAGATTCCAAAAACAGTAACCCAACCAAAATAAGCATTTAAAATACGTCTTCAGCAGCCCATTTGCATGAAATCTGTTCAATCACTAAGCAGAGATTTGCAGTATTTGATACTGAGTTTGCTCTAGGCCTGGAGAGGACACAAAAGATACCCGCCCTCCAGAAGATGACTTAGTCCTTCAACAAATACTTTCTTACTACTAAATCCCCGTCTGGGCATAGCAAACATAAAGAAAACAGATAAGCCTTTGCCCTCACGGAGCTTACAGCCTACAAGAAAGGTGTCATTACTGTGTAACTGTAGTAAGTGCTGGAGTCAGGGGGGTCAGGGAAGACTTCCTGAGGGACTAATAGTCAAAAGCTGTGGTGCCCAAGCAGGTAGCTTCTAGTTACATGTGATTATTTAAATCAAAATAAGAGTTCAGTTCCTCCATTTCTCGAGCCCCATACATGCGCTCAAAAGCCACATGTGGCCAGTGGCTGCCAGGATGAACGTGGCAGAAGAAAACATTCCCCGGGTCTTGGAAAGTTCTCCTGAACATCACGGAGGGAAAGCTGTGCTGCTGAAAGGCCGGGTGAGCAAACAATACCGGGAGGCCTAAAACAAACCAACAACAACAAAGACTTACACACTAAGCAAGCCAGTAACAGCACAGGGAACTACAGATCATTAACCGGGGAACAGAGTATGTGTAGGTTTAAACAGGGGGAAAGAGGTCATTCTGTAACATTAAGAACACTCGCGTATGTTCCCAAATTGAAGCTATTATCAACAATAGAAGACACCATAAAAACATTATTTTAAAAAAAAAAGGCCTTGCTGATGAGAACTGTATCTGACCATCTGAAACGTCTGAAATAAATCCCACACGTAACATATTCTGTGCCGAATTGTCTATGAAATAGAAATAAACATACTCATTACATTTCAAGATCCAATCTTACAGCCCAGGTCCGTCAATATCGAACGAAAGCATTTAAAAATGCTTATCTATGTTAGCAAAATAGGACAGAACCGGGAAGGCTTTGCAGCATAAAAACGAACAAAGCTAGACTTCTGCCATTTTCCATTCTGTTTTCCCTCCACCGTGGCTGCATGTCCTGCGCCACGTGATCTGCCATGGAGCCGGCTTAAATTGTGCATCCGATTGCTGTATGGCAGATGTCCATGTGAACGCAGAAGTACAATGAAAAGATTCGGGGATGTTTCCCCGAAGAGGGTGGAAACATTTCAAAGGCATGATTTTTTATCCTATAGATTTCGCCACAGTATGAAGCACCGTCCAGCGGGGAGCACAGCGCAAGTTATCACCCCATGAGAATATCCGCCTCTGATACATATCAAAACACTGTCTCCGCGTTTAAATCCAGATTGCCTGTGAGTCTCTGGGGGAATGAACCACCTGACATCAAACGTAAAGGAAAGCTGGCATTATAAACCCATCCATCTAACCCGCCCCGATGAGTGAGGTCTACCCCGCGCCTCTCTGCAGGGCAGGTCGTGCGCATTTCTCCAAACTTCCCCATTCCCACGATTTAAAATGAAGGAATCTCGGGGTAGCAATAGCCTGGAAGCAAAGTCATCTGGTTTCGTTTTGCATTCCCACTGGCAAAAGGTTTCTTCAACCGTTTAATACGCCTGGGGAGAGCTGGAGAGGCCCGTTTCCAGGGCAGGGCCAAGCCAACACGCACACCGTGCGCGCGGGAGGCACTCCCAGGGCGCCGGGCGGTCAAGGTT